GACGATCAACGGTCAGTCCCTCGGGTTCAGGGAGACGTTTACGCTGACTGAAAGGGGTAGCCTTACCGAATTGGGTCCGGTGTTGTATGCAGAATCCAGCAAACCGGTGATCTGGAATGTGGATTGTTTATTCGCGTGATAAGGATGTCCTTGACCCAACACGTACCCGCCAGCGGGATGTGGAGGGGGGTACCAAGGGCAGAGCCTTCCCACGTCCAGGGCACCAAATGTTGTTCTTTTGTTTAAGCTGCAGCTGCTAAGTAGGAAAGGAACAACGAATAAGCAACCCACGTGGAGTTTATTTATCAGAGAGGGGGGAAAGAGGGGGTGGGCAGGCAGCCAACCCTAGGGAAGTCGAGAGAAAGAGAAAGCGGGGGGTGGGGCAGGACCTTTTAAAGGGAAGATTGCATATGCGCAGTAGGGCAAAGGTCGAAAGGCATGGCGGGTGAGTGAGTACCCGCTTGTTAGGGGGCGGGGTTAGGGTCATCCAGGTGTTTTGTTCTTACAGTGGGGGCTTGAGTGAGCTATCCCTGAATGTGAGAGAGTAGATGATGTGGTCCTACTCCCATCATCTGCCAACTATATTCATAGCAGGATTATTTGTAATAGCTAGAACCTGGAAGCAACCTAGATGCCCCTCAACAGAAGAATGGATGGAAAAAATGTGGTACATTTACACAATGGAGTACTACTCAGCAGAAAAAAAAATGGAATCTTGAAATTCACAGGCAAATGGATGTAACTAGAAGAAACCATTCTGAGTGAGATAACCCAGTCACAAAAAGACAAAAATGGTATGTACTCACTCATATATGGATTTTAGACACAGAGCAAAGGATTACCAGCCTAGAATCTACACTGACAGAGAAGCTACATGGTCCCCCAGAGAAGGGGAAAGGGACAAGACCTCCTGAGTTAATTGGGAGCATGGGGGAGGAGAGAGGGAGCTTGAAGAGAGGTTGAGAACAGGAGGGGAGAAGAGGACATGAGAGAGTAGGAAGTTTTAGTCAGGGGAAGAACACCTAGACTCTTACTGTACATATGAGAGGCAAGGAAGAACAGATATTCAATACATAACTAAGACACAGAGGAGCCAGTATATGTCGTGCCTTCCAGTTGTTTAGTTATATTGCTTAGTTTTCTAACAGGCTCACCAGAAAGCAATGACAACTGTTTCAAGTATTTCTTTCTTTATTGATGATTTCTTCTCAAAACCTTGTAATGCTAATTTTGTGTCTTCTACTTCCTCAGATGTAGTGAATATTTGTGAATATGGGAGATCCATATAAACTTGTTCTAAAAATACATTCAAAGTGGTACAGGAAGAAAGGATAGAAAAATACTTGCCTGTCCTAGACACAAAGCTTGTAAATATAGGTGCCATTTACTAAAAAACTGGGGCTAGAGAATCATTATTTGAAACAGAGTATATGACTAAAATATCAATTGTGTTGGAATTAAGGATTCTGTATCAGAAAGAGAAAATTTAAAAAATACTTATTTATGAAGGTCAGTGTTATAAGACTTAGAGAATAGAGGGAAATCTGTCAGTATAGTTAGTTTAAATGGTTGTTGACCAAGTACATACTTTCAGAATACAAACACACCACTCAGAATTTTCACTCCAGGTCAACTTTCTGTTTCTAGTTCTTTTGCAAACTCATTGCTTTAACATGTTACTTAGTTTTTATACTGCTTTTGTCTTTCCTGTGTTCCATCGTGAGTAGCATTTTTCTTGATCTATTTTCAACATATTCATTCATCTTATTTTGCTGATAATCTCTATGTGACTCTTACCTAATTTAGTTTAAATTGCTTTACCCTCAAGTTAGGGGTGTTGAATGGTTAGCTCTGCATACTTGTCATACTGTTTTTAGCATTCTTATTTTATACCTACTCATTGTTCTAAAACTTTGTGCATTAGGGACACATCCCTTTTTAAATGCCCTGCCACTTCAATCAGGTTGTTAGAAAAAAAAAAAAAAAACAAAAAAAAAAAACGATTAATTGAAACTTCAGTTGAACCTCTAAGAGTAATGGGTAGATAGATAATCAGTTTTGGTATAATTCCAGAAGCTCCCAGATGATTTGGCATCTCAATTCTTGACAAATCCATAATGATCATGACTCTGTTTTTTTTTTCAATGATACCATCTATTTTCCTTACAGCTTATTGTGCAGATTAAGTTTGATTTCCTGTCTTAACTACTCATTCTTTTGATTATTATCTTTGACTTTTACTTGAATTATTACTATCTGAATTTCTGAATTACTAAGGGCAACCTCAGAATAGCTCTATTATACGGCACATTGCCTTTTACTGTGCCAGAAATGTTTTAATGGGTCACTAGGTAAATAGTAGGCAAACAACATGGGTTTGAGATGTGTTCCAGACCGATGTCTTCAGGACTGTGGACGGAGCCAGCCATACAGTCCCGGGTCCATTTCTGAGTGGAGGTGTGTGGACTAGGGAAGTTTAATTACCCAACAACGCTAATGATGAGACAGGAAACACCATATCATCTCAGGAGGGCTTCCAGCTGACACCAAGCGGCCACAGTTTATTGAGAGGTCCATTTAAATAGTCCTCTAAGGGCAGGGACAACATCAGGAAGCATTTATCACAATGCATATCGCTAACATCAAGTGATTCTGTTGCCTAAACAACTCTTGGTCAAGAAGGCAGTCTTGAGCCCAGGTATGGGCCTACTCAAGGCTTAAGCTACAGAGATGCAAATTAGGAGGCATATCACCTTCTGCCACAGTAAACAGTTACATCCTAGTGTTAATTAACAATACAATGGTAACTTAGAGCTCCTGGCACTAAGGCTGTTTATGGCAGCAAGGGCCTGGAACCCAGAATATTCCATAACAGGGATATTGGGTCCCCCACAGAGATGTCAATGTAAAATCAGGTATCTTGTCAGTTCAAGATAGGAAGCAAAAGAAAGTGAAGGCTGTGGGGAGCTTCCTAACAAGTATATCTAAAAGCTGTAGAAAGTAAGGAGCCTGGAAGATAGCCAACTCAGATCGCAGAAAGCCAAAGAACCTGACTGGGAAATCTACTGGTGGTTATTTTTCTATTCTGTTCATCCTGAATAGGATGAATATATAGAGTGACAAATTTGGTTTTAAAAGTGTTTAATTGCTTGTTTGTCTTTTCCCTTAGTAATCCCAATTTTACATCATTTTAAAACTAAGTCATTTATTTAGCAATATCTACTAGGATTTTCTACCTCAGGATGTCAAACACACACGGGAAACATGTGCCTGTGAACAGAGTGTAAATAACAATAATATAAATTCCAAACAAAGAACCCTAAAAAGCAAACTGGTGTAACCATTTTAATATCTGACAAAATAGACTTCAAACCGAAACTAATCAGAAGAGATAGGAAAAGAAACTACATATACATCAAAGGAAAAATCCACCAGGAAGTCATTGGAATTCCTAACATCTGTGCAACAAAACCAAAGGAAACCTAGTTTGTAAAAGAAATTGCACTACAACTGAAATCATATACTGACACTTGCAACACTAATCATGGCTGACTTCAATATTCTACTCCCACCGATAGACAGGTCATCTAGACAAAAGCTAAGCAGGAAAATGCTGGAGCTACATGATATTATAAAACAAATGGACCTAACAGATGTTTACAAAACAATTCGTCTAAACACAAAATAAATATACCTTCTTCTTAGTATGAAAATTTCTGTGAAACTGACCACATAACTGGGAAACAAAGTTAAAATACTACCTGAAAGGTTCAGGCATTATGCTGGCCTGCCCCTGTTACCTGGTGGAACATGCAGTACCCTGGTCAGCCCAAGGTTCCATGGGAACTAAGTCTGCACTAAGTCTGCACGCAGGTGCAGAGGACCCCTTTAAAAGACGTTCTCTGTTTCTGCTCTGTTTCATCTCTCTGTTTCCCTTCTCTGTTTCCTCTCAGCTTCCTCTCTACTATGTCTCCCACCTATGAGCTAGCTCTGTCTCTCTATGGCGACTGGCCATGGTGGTCAGCCATTTACCCCTGTTCCTCTTCTTAGTCTCCCCATTCTGCCGGACCTTATAATACACTTATAGTCAATATGTCTCTTGTCTCAGCATTTCTCTTTTCTTCTTTTTAAACAAAACAATAACATTTGGTGCCTGGCCGTGGAAAGGCTCTGTCTTTGCACCTTCTCCCGCAGCCCTCTGATGGGCACATGGTAAGGCAAGGGTACCCTTACAACCTACTTCCATCTCGGCTTTTCCTGGCACTTCCTCCTGCCTGCAGCATCCTGAGATGCCAGAACTCAACTCGCCGCTTTTCCAACTAAGGATCTCTTGAACTCACTGATCTGCCTATTTGCTGCAATTCGGTAAGATACCCAGAACCTTTCCCATGGTGCAGACCCAACACTGTTTACTCTGGGTCCACTTTTTGGTTTGGGGCTGGGTGCTCTCAGACAGGGCAATCTGTGCGATTTTTTGGCCTTGCCCACAGGAAATACGTTTTACGGGATCTTTCGGTTACTGGCAGCGAGTAGGTAAATGAGCAGAGTTCTGCCTCCCAATGGGAAATTACTTTCACCTGGGAATGTCCCTCATTGTTCTCTGACTGTGTTTCCTCTTGGTTGGCAATGTCTGCTTGAGATGCTCTGAGAGTTTTTGTTTGTTTGCTGTTTTTCATTTTTCCACATGAATGAGGTTTGAAACTTTTCTGGCAATTGAGAATGTGCTTACGGGGGTCGCCATCTCCACCATGTGCGCTAACCTGGGGGCCGCCATCTTGGTCATAACCACTTGACCTCGCTTAGGCCTGCCCACTCAGTTCAGTGACTTGCACAGGCAAGCACTGCCACCTGACATCTTGCTTTTTATTTCTTCTTTCACTTGTTGGGTGCATTTCCTGAAGGTCAGGCATGGGATCCCGCTCCAGGAGAGATGCTGTTTGCTTTTTCAGTTCAGACTATTGGGTCTTTTTTCGGTTTCGGGACAGCTGTGTCCCCTTCGGGGCCAGGCCCCTGGCAATTCCCACGAGCAGACGTGCATCCATAAAAGAGCTTTTTGCCGGTTTTCCACTTGCCTCACCCATGGGAAATGCATAGAGGAACCTTTCTGGTTTCATCCAACAAGCAGGTAAACAGAAAAAAGAAGCGGCTTATGGTCCCCGCCATTTTGTTCATGTGACCTACCTGTAGGCACGCCCAGCTCCAGCGGTTTTATTTGTGTGTTTTTCCTCTTATTTTATTTTTTGCCTTGTTCTTCTT